ACAACTGAAGGGAGGCTGTCCTGTTCCAAGAACTGTATACTGAGCATTCCTGAATATCAATTGTAACTGTGCTTCCCTAACAACCCCATAGTCATAAGTATTGTCTATAAGTTCTGTGTGGCCATTGCAATGAATTATTGAACGCAGCAGAGAAGCAGAGAGTGCCTTGGGAGGGACAGTTGGATATTAATGCCTTAATTTGTCAATGTTGATCTTGATCCTACACCCCTTGTGAAGTTAGAGAAGGTCAAAAGCCCATACCATTTTTATACATATACATCTGTGATCTTTGGAATCATAGAATGGCAAATAATGGATAATCACTTTCTTTCATAGAAAAAGAACTTGCTAAAATATATAAATGTCTTTTCCAGGACCACGCAGTTAGTAAGTAGTGGGGCTGCTTCTGGAACTCCTTTTGTTCAGTGCTAACATGAGCATTCTCTCCGTATCAATCCCATGTTATCTCTCAACCAATAAAAAGGAAATGTGATTATGCCTGTGAAGAAGAATTTGAAAAGAATACAAAGTGCTGTAGAAATAGATCATTCATTGTGAAAATCTTTATTTATAACTATAGGTCTTGATGTCCTCCAAAGCCAGAGTTCCAGAGAACTGGTTAATTGTTCTAGATGAAGTATATCCACCAAATGTCATACTGGTGAGCAAGACACAACAGTTGGAACAAACACTCAAAGCACTGCACCTACATAATTTCCTTGGGGTCTGAGTAATTCTCCAACAATGCAGGGCAGGGCTTCCTTGAGAGAAATTACACTGGGTAGGATCAAGTGGGCTACTACCTTCAGGTGTTGTGGCGATGGAGAAGGCATCACGACACACCTGTCAACAGAGCTCACTCAAATGGAGACCAACCAGACCGGCAGATCTGGCTCTGTTCTCTGCCACCCTGGTTTTGACTCAGAACTTGGGTAGCCTGTTTTATATACCCACATACAGTCATGTTTTGTCCTGGTCTTGTCCTTTTCCTTCCCTGCCTTTGCTGCTGGTTCAGCCACTCCCTCTGTCTAGCTTCTGCGACACTGACTTTGTTTCAGTCTTTCAATTTACTTTAAATGTGTCCTAAATTCTGACCTTGGGCCCTGTACAGACCCCCAAGAATTCTCTAAAAGATGTGTACTCTAGTACTCCAAGCTTCCCTGTCCAGGTGACCTATTCTGGGCTTCCTCATCTGTATCTTCAGGGAGGCAACCTAAGGAAGTATTCAGACTCTAGCATTGGGATTCAGACGACTCTGGGTCCAAGATCCAGATTTGCTGCTAATTCTTAAATATTTGACCTAAGTTAGTATTTAAATTTTCTAAATATCAGTGTTGTTATCTGTGTAATAGGATAAGCATACACCCATATTGCAGAGATGTGGGCAGGAGTAAATGACTTAGCCATGTGTCTGGCACTTAAAAGTGCTAAATAATGTCAGTTACTTTTATTATTATACTCTTTGGGTTAAAATGCCCCATCGAATCTCAAATTCAATATAAATGACAATGGCAAGGACCATGTTTTATTTTGTTTCATCCCATATCTCCAACCCTCAACACATTAACTCACTGCAGTCTAGTCGACTAGATTCATAGTGACCCCTCCTTGGGTTTCCAAGGTGGTATCTCTATGGAAGCAGATTGCCCAACCTACCTTCCAAAAAGTAGCTGGTGGGTTTGAACCATCAGCCTTCTGGTTAGCAGTCAAATACCTTAGGCACTATGCCACCAGGTGCAGGGCAAATATGTAAACATTTTTTAATCAGACTTGTGACTTTGAAGAGTTGTTAGGGAACTGCTTTGGCAGGATTTCACTAGGGAAGCATCTGACTTCCCAAATCCTATATAAAGTAGGCTTATGGTGTAATTGAAAAATGGTTCAGTGCTTAAGTTTCCTCCCCTGTAGAAGCTTCCAGTGTTCAGATCTCTGGACACTTACAGTAAAATCAAACTGAAATTATTAAATTCATAAGATTGCTGATAGTGATGGTGATGTACCTTTAGATTCCTACAGAAAATAAATTATAAATTGAAAATGAATCTTTTTAGGGTAGAGCAATCAGAAAAAGATAATCCTACTAGATTGAGAAATGCAATATTGACTTAGTTTTAATTAAACTCCATTCAGTTTACAGTAAACAGTGTGGGAAAATCCAGTGGAAGAGAATAAGAAAGATGTGTTAGATGATTACTAATGATACAACCCTTACTTGAATAAAGGATAAAATTCAACAAGATTGAAGAAAAATAAAAGTTCCAGAGAAAGAACGATTACCAGGGAACCATAAGAAAAACAATCTCCAGAGCCCACTTAGGACATGCACATGACTAATTTGAGCTTCCACCAACAAGGAGAGATCTTTCTGAACATTTTTCTGAACTATTCAATAGAGACCTCAGAAGCTTTGTGCTTCAATAAACCCCACCCACTGCCCTCAAGTCTGATGCGACTCATAGCGACCCTTCCTTGGGTTTCTGAGGCAGTGTCACTACGGAAATAGATTGCCCAGCCTTCTTTCCAAGGAGTGGCTGGTGGGTTTGAACCGTCAACCTTCTGGTAGGGCAAAATTTCCTGGGAGCAGAGGTGACTCTAGACCAGTCCTGAAAGAGAAGAAAAGAAAGCCTCAAAATAATCAAACCGCTCTGCGGGTAACTTAATTGTCTGACAAAAAAATTTGTAATTCATTCTTAATTTGTCCAAACCAAAAACCAAGCCCATTTCTGGCAAGTAGATTCCAACTTACAGTGATGCTATAGGACAGTGTAGAACTGGGTTTCAAAGATTGTAAAGTTTTATAGAAGCAGACTGCCACATCTTTCTCCCAAGGAGAAGCTGCTGGGTTCGAACCACTGACCTTTCAGTTAATAGCTTAGGTGCTTAAACACTGTGCCACCAAGTTGCCTTCTCTTCATTATTAAAAATAACTTCCACTATGTGATTTTTAGCAATAACTCAGAGTTAAAAATTTATACTAAATATTCTTCTCAGAACTACTTATTTATGTGAACCTAAAAGAAAAATACAGAAGAATTGATGTTGAACCCTGTTGCACTCTAGCAATATATTACATTCATTTGTGGACATATGAATTAGTTGAAGAAGATAGATAACCCAGCTGTATTATTAAGAGGTATATTTCCAGTAAAATTTTTATGATCATGCTTTAAAATTATTTATTAAAGTTTATGTTTGTATATTTTTTATTTTCTTTTCTGTGTGTAGTAATAGTTTTTATACTGGTAACTCAAATATGACAAAAAAATTTAAGTTCAGAGCACTATGGTTTTAATAAAATATATATGATAATATTCCAATTTTTTCATATTTTATATTATAGAAAAGAATGATATAGTCACCAATATAAGATCATTGGTCACAAAAATATACTAGGACTCAGTTCTATGGAGAATTTTGATGAAAATATGAGTTCAAGTGAGACAAAGTGTCTGATTCATAAATAAGTATTTTTCACATATTTCTAACATGGATGACTGTAGGCTTCATATCACTGTACTATTTAGATTTTATTTGATATATTTAAAAAGAGATGTTGTAGTTTTACTTATAATGTCAATATTCATAATACCTCAGAAATTCTATTCTTTACAACTATTTAAACATGTGCTAAGGAAAAATATAATTTTAACTTGTGTGATGGTGTATCTTAAAATTTGTTAGAGGGTAGGTGAGTACAATATTAAATGCCACTGACATACCATGAATTTATTCTGAAAATGTGATTGACATCAGCACAGAGGGCTAAAGAACAGTCTCTGAAGCTCTTGTTTGCTAGTTGTCATGGAGTTGACTCCAACTCATGGTGACCCCAAGTGTTGCACATTAAAGCTGAACTACATAGGAGTTTCAAGGCTGTGACCTTGTGGAAACATATCATCAGGGCTATCTCCTGAGGTGCCTCTGGGTGGGTTTGAACTGGCAACTTTTCAGTTGGTAGTCAAGTACTATATGGTTTGCACTACCCAGGTACTCCTCTGAAACTCTTAACTAAAGAGAAGCAAATAATCATGATAATTGGTAATAGCAGTTGTTTACTAAAGAGCTCTCATGGTACAGTGGTTAGGTGCTTGAAAGGTTGCTTAGAACCCACCAGCCATTTGAAGAGAGATAAGATCTGCTCTTTATACACTGCAGCCTTGGAACACACTGTGGGGAAATTCTACTCTGCTCTATAGGGTCTCTATGAGTCGAATCTACTCACTGGCAATGTTCAGTTTTGGTTTAGTTTTTCACTATTGCTGGTAATAAATTATCACAGATTTCATGGCTTAAAATGTCACTCATTTATTAGCTCTTGTTTTTATGGGTCAGGAGTCCAGGCAGGGCTTAGACGATCTTTCTGCTCAGGGTCTCAGCAGGCAACCATCATGATGTTGGCTGGCTGTGTTCTCAACTGGAGGTTCAAGCAAGGAAGAATCGGCTTCCAAGATCATTCAGGTATTAGGTAGAGTTCATATCCTTGTGGTTGTATGACTGAGGGCCGGGCATTTTGCGAGTTGTTAGCTGGAGGCCACCCGCAGGTCCTTGGGGCTACCCACAATTCTTTACCACATGGGTTTCTTCAACATGGCTGCTTATCTCATCAAGGCGACAAGGAGAATCTCTTGTTACAGTCTAAGATAGATGCTTGTATAATTTGTAATGTAGTTGGGTTGTGATATTCCATCATCTTTCCTCTGCTGGCCTAGTGCCTAAGGCATTTGACTGCTACCAAGAAGGAAGATTGGGTGATCTACTTCCATAGCGATACCATCTCGGGAACCCAAGGAGGGGTCGCTATGAGTCCAATCCAACTAGGCGGCAGTTAGTTTTCTGGTTTTTGTTTTTTGCATTATAACATAATTTAAACAGGAGAGTGTGACATTCCATCACCTTCATCAGTTCTGTTGGTTAGAAGCAAGTCCAGATCCTATCACAATCAAGAGGAGGGGGATCACACAAATGTGCGACACCAGAAAGTGAGAATCATTGAGGTCACCTTAAAGTTTGTCCTTCACTTTGTGATTTTCATTTTGCAAACATTGTTCCATCAAACTAATTAGATCTTGGTAAATTTCCTGGGGTGCATCCTGTCCAAGGTAAAAATCCACATGATTGTAGTGTGGAATACTCTTGCAATAAATAAGATTGGAAATTTTAGGGAGTAAATTCTCAATGTCCTTGGGATCAGCCACACAGTCCTGTCCACCACTCCATACTGCTGTTGGGAGTTCCATCTTAGTCACGTTGTATAAGGGAGGTGTAAGCTAAATGCAATTAAAGAGAAAAAGGGTTTTTACAGACCACATTAAACTACATTAAACAAATATTAGTGTTCAGCTCTTAAAAGTTCTTCAAAAGCTGAAAATGTGCAATTAGGATAAGATAGACTTGTACATAAATATTAAAATGTTAAAAAAATTATAAGTACTCTATGCAATATATGAATTGTGAGTAGTGAGAACAGATGTTTTATTACTGTCTTGCATTTTTGGGAGAATAAGAAAAGATTCTAGAGGAAGAGGTCTCTTATTTCTCTAGGGAACCATCTTTCTAGAAACACTTTTACTAGGTGTGTCTTTTTCAATCAAAATGTTAGTTTTGTTAATTGTAATTGAAGGTAAGCTTGTATATTTTTAAGCATGCATCTAATTCATTCTCAGTATTGTTTTGGGTTTTTCTTAGTTATTCACTTTCCCCCTCAAAGGCTTGAGCCAAAGATTTATAAATGAACCTGAATTACCATGGAGTCATGATTTTTATTGAAAATGTGAGCACAATGTTAAATTTTATATCTATGACCTAACTTTCATCCAAATAGATATCTGAATCTTACAGGGTAAAGTCATCTGAAAAGCTTCTCCCAAAACATCTATCTATCCACTCTTTCCAGGAATAAAAGATTGGTTAGTAAGTGGAGTAAAAAAACTTTGACATAATCTCTCTCTGTGTGTACATATAACTACAGCAGCTTAGGAGAAAAATTTTAATTATTACAGTTAAAAATTACCATATAAAAATTTTAGATAAACAAGGTTTTTAAAATTTCCAAATCACCACATCTTTGATTTAGGAAAAGCACATATCTTTGATGACTACTTGTTTAGTTTGAGCTCAGTCTATCAGCAAGAACCCTAAATCACAGGATTTGCCTCTCTAGTGGAAAATATAACAATAATGACACTCATTTCCCTTTAGCATACATTTTTCCCCCAAAATTTTCAGATTATTTCAATAAATGCTTTGACACACCACTCTTTAGCAGATACCACTGCTTCTTTCTTAAGGGATCTTTCTTTGAGATACATTTAATAATCCATATATTGTTTTTTTAAAAATAGATTGTAAATGACATCCTAACGAGTGATGAGGACAGCATTCATTTTGCTAGAGATGGATAAGAAGTCAGAAAATATACTTTAGAAACAAAGATTGTGTATTTTTAATTCTCCCTTCAAAGTATTATTGTAATTAAGTGCTGAGGATTTCTGTTTTTTTTTGAGAAGCAATAGATGTGTAGTAAAAGAAAGATAGACTTTGGATCTAAGAAATGCTGAGTCATGCTCTGGTCCTGTACTAGTGAAAATAATTGACAATTTTCCTAACCTCTTTGAGCCTCTGGAAAAATGGGAATATAACATTTACCTTGCTAAGTCATTGTGAGGATCAGAAATAATAATATGGCATATGGTAAGATTCCAGTAAGCAATATCTGATGCATATAAAATATCCACATAGTGAATAAGAACTAGTAGGTACTCAATAAATAGATACTGCTTTTATTAGTCCATTTGAAATATACAACTGATTATTATTAACATTGTGTATTATACCTGGTTAAAATGCATCATATTCTGATTTGGGTCTCCCCAATCAAAAGCTTGGAATTGACCAGAATTAGCAACCTAAAGTAAAATAAAAACAATAAACACATTTAAATGATACAAGAAAACAGTGTACATTTAAGAATAGTTAGCAAGAAATATACAAAGACAAATGATACACGTCTCACTATTTAGATACATGAGTTAAAATTAAAACTATGATAATAAGTTAAACAATAAAAATGGTAAAAATTTAAACTAATCCACAAAACTGACTTTATGTGTTATGTTGTTGTTACATGCGTTGAGCCAGTTCCATCTTAGAGCAACTCTCTGTGCAATAGAACAAAACACTGCCTGATCCTGTGCCGTCACAGTTGTTGTTATGGTTGAATTCATTGTTGCAGCCACTCTTCAGGTCTTCTTTTTTTTGGCTGACCCTCTGATTTACCCTTAAATTTTATTTAACCATATTGTCCTTCGTCAGGGACTGGTCTCTTCTGCTAATGTATCTGAAGTATGTGAGATAAACTCTTGCCATCCTGGATTCCAAGGAATAGTCTGGCTGTACTTCCAAGACAGATCATGATGTGTTATAATATTTTACTCATCTTTAAACTTTTCTCTGGTGGTGCAGTGGTTAAGGCATTCAGCTACTAACCAAAAGGTCGCAAGTTGAAACCCACCAGCCACTCCATGGGATAAAGATGAGGCAGTCTGTTTCCATAAAGATTTATAATCTTAGAAACTATATGAGGCAGTTCTACCCTGTCTGGAAGGGTTGCTATGTGTTACGAATAATTCATCTTGGGTTTCCTTTTCCTTCTATTTGCCATCCATGCTAAATTCAGGAGGTGGATAATTTTCACATTTACTTTAAGCTCATCATTAAATTATTCCAAGAGTTCCCTAAAGGATCTTTTATTAGCTTGACTTCAGACTATTGAATCAGTGACCTAGGGCAATGAGATAAATATTCTTATCATTCTCATTTCACAAATGAGGAAACAGGTTTAGAGAAGCAAAATGGTAATGAAAACAATATTTACCCCCTAGGGTTGGAAGATTCAATAGAGTAATGCCTAAGATAAAGCATGTAGTGACTGGTAATTCAACTACTAGGTCTTTTTACTAAATATTCCTTCCTTCATCATCATCCTTGCATCCTTGCTTTACCTCTCTACATAACTTAGGATCAAATATTTTCTACCCTCTACTTACTTCTAGGAGCTCTGGTAGCATAGTGTCTAAGGCACTAGACTGCTAACCAGAAGGCTGACGGTTCAAACCCACCAGCCATTCCTCGGAAGGAAGGTTGGGCAATCCTACTTCTGTAGTGATACTGCCTCGGAAACCCAAGGAAGGATCACTATGAGTCGGGGCCGACTCGACGGCAAATAACAACAACAACAACTTACTTCTACCCTAAAGGGAACTTTCTGTCAAAGTAAACGAGTTCTCCTTAAAAGAAGTCAGCTGGGAGATGGGTAAGGAGTTGGTTATGACACTTGTAGAATGGGAATAGCAATATCTTCACTGAAAAATTATTTTGATTATTTAATGAGCCGTACTAAAATAATACATATGAACATCAAGAAGAACATATAGTAAGTGTTCATAAATGTCAGCTGATATTGTATATCTGGGTGGCCATGTGAATTAGAAGGTTAATCTATCTCCCCACCAGCTGGAGGCCCCATGTTCTGAACATCTTTCCTTCTAAAAGAATATGAAGGCTATCTCTTGAGGGTGAAGCTCTTCAGACTACTTAAGACATCCTCAACTAGTGTTTCAAGTTATACTGTTTTCAGGCGGAGAGAACTTTTTCTCTAAAACGTATAGCAGAGATTTTCAACTTCAAGGCTATTGGCCAAGAATATAGGCAAAAGTTACACACACACACACACACACACACACACACTTGACTCAAAAAACCACAGCAATAGAATTTGATTCACCTCTAAGTTTGCTGAATATTAAATTAAAATAGTAAGATAAATAAAGCTTAAACAGAGATTATATACATGAGTTTTTAATCTACTTAAACCCTCTACAACCATTTACTTTTATCTGAATAAAGTATTATTTTCCATACTCTAAAATGTCTCACATGCCAATTGGAGGATGAGTAGACCTATCTGGAGTAGGTTATAGCATTTTATAAAGTTCTATTAGAGCTGAAAATTTCCCCAAAGAGGAACTACAACACTTTTCTTGAAAAATCAATTTGGAGTAATCTAAGGATGAGAACGGTCAGAATGTCTGAGAACCAGATTCAAAGCCCAGACATGAGAGACATGGAGAATAGAGGGAAGTATGAGAGCTCTGGTGGCGTAGTGCCTAAGGCACTTGACTGCTAACCAGAAGGCTGACGGTTCAAACCCGCCAGGCACTCTTCGGAAGTAAGGTTGGGCAATCTACTTCTGTAGTGATAATACCTCGGAAACCCCAGGACGGGTCACTATGAGTTGGGTCCACCTCAATGGCACATAACAACAACAGCAGCAACAACAACAATGACAACAATGGATGCTTGGCTTCTAACAGAAAGGTTGGAGGTTTAAGCCTGCCCAAAGGCACCTCAAAGAAAGGCCTGGTGAAAATTTTCCCTTCTGAAAAATCAATCATTGAAAATCCTGTGGAGTTTACTCAGGAACATGTGGGGTTGCCAGGAATCCAAACAGATGCAACAGCAACTAATTTGGTTTTTAATGGGAATTAAAATTTCAATCCCAACTAAAGGGCAGTCTTACAGCTTGAGGAGTTGTGCTGACTCCAGAACCATCAAACTGACCATGGCAGGTGCCTGCAAAGCTCCCCAGAGGGGAGCTCTCTGGGAGCACTCCTGGGGGATCTTGCTGGAGTACAGTATGTGATGTCAGGAATAGGACGCACATACCTGGGCCCAGTGCAGCATATTCTGAACAGATGTTCCAGCAGGGCTCTGTGCCAAATAAACATCCAAGCGACTCTGAAAAAGAAAGAGATTATTCCTCACCTCAAGTTTAATTGTAAACATGTGAAACGAATTTGAGCAATAGTTTTGCAAAATAAATTATACCTTCTGAAGACATATTAACCAAAAAAGGCCAATATTAAGAACTTTTTCCTTCTCTAGCTCTATTCTTTTATCCTGGATAAACTCACTGCCATCAAGTCATTCCCAACTCATAGGGACCCCTCCTTGGGGTTCCGAAGTGGTATCTCTATGGAAGTAGATTGCCCAATCTTCCTTCTGAGGACTGGTTGGTGGGTTGAACCACCAGACTTCTGGTTAGCAGTTAAATGCCTAAGGCCTTCATAAAGTCCACAGAGGACATCCCACTGGCCAGAAGCATAGGGTAAGGTATTTTCCTTTCTAGCTTCACCTGAGACAAGTCTTAAACATACAGAGAGGTCAAAGAATAAAAGCCCAGTGATCTGTCTGGACAGGAATCAGGACATCTCCTTTCACTCTGTATTAAGTTCCAAGGGGCATTCAGAGAAAATCTTTGATCAAAAGACATTGGGAACAGATCTGAATGTTTCCTTCTGATAAAGAATATGGTAAATATTCTTCAAGACTGTTTGAAAGTAGGTAAGATATAATCCATTCAGCATTTTAACCATCATTAAATTTTAAATTTCTTTTGGATCATTAAAAAACTGATTCTTTCATATTTTGAATCATATTATGTATGTTCATATATGTGTACATGTGTGCATATATATAAAATAAAAAAACTCACTGCCATCAAGTCAAATTTGACTCCTAGCAACCTACTTTGGGTTTCTGAGGTAGGAAATACGTACAGAAGTATATTGCCCATTATTTTCCAAGAAAGGGAGCTTAAAAATATCTTAAAGCTTTTAATAAAAATATACCTAGTAATGAACTACCCAAACTTACTCAATCAGAATCTTTATGGTTGAGTTCTGGGCATATGCATCTTTTCAAAGTTTCACAGATGCTACTCAGGTACCCTGATCATGCTGTACTGAAATAAAAGCCTTTGCAAAACATCTAAATAAATAAATAAACCCACTGCCATCAAGTCAATTCCAACTCATAGCGACTCTATAGGCTAATACAGTAGAACTGCTTCCATAGGATTTCTAAGGCTGTAAATCTTCACTGAAGCAGACTGCCTCTTTTTTTTTTTCTCCCACAGAATAGCTGGTGGGTTTGAACCACATTTTGGTTAACAGCTGAATGCATTAAACACTATGCCACCAGAGATCCTTAGGTCTTTGCAGGAGCTACACTATTACATAGTATAGTTTTCAAAGGGGAGGTAAAAGCAATTTGACTACATAAATGTTCACTTCATGCTTAGCTGAGGGCACCCAATGAATGTTCAACAGCATCCTTTTATGAAGATTTTCTCTAGACCATGTCAAGAGGGTACTTTAAAACTACCTCTTTTGTATGTGCTTAAAGGTTTTTTTTTTTTTTTTATATATACTTATTTCCACATATATACCTACATGATATGCTTCCATCTAATGTGATATGCCCACCACTCATTGGTCAGTTTGTCAAATATACTGTGGTGGCTTGCATGTTGCTGTGATGCCACTGGTCTTTCAAATACCAGCAGGGTCACCTACAGTGGACAGGTTTCAGCAGAGATTCCAGACTAAGACAGACTAGGAAGAAGGACCTGGTGATATACTGAAAAAAAAAAATGGCCGGGGAAAACATTATGACTAGCAGGACAACATTCTCTGATATAGTGCTGGAAGAGGAGCCCCTTTGGTTGGAAGGCAACTGAAACATGATTTGGAACTGCCACTTCAAAATAGAGTCGACCTTAACGACATAGATGAAGTAAAGCTTTCAGAACCTTCATTTGCTGATGTGGCGTGACTCAAAATGAAAATAAACTGCTGCAAACATCCATTAATAATCAGAAAGTGGAATGTGTGAAGCATGAATCTAGAAAAATTGGAAGTTGTCAAAAGTGACACAGAAAGCTTGAAGATAGAAAACCTTGGCATTAGTGAACTGAACTCAACTGTAACTGGCCATTTTGAATTAGATAATCATATGGTCTACTATGCCAGGAATGACAAAGTTGAAGAGGAATTGCATCACATTCATTGTCAAAAAGAACATATCAAGATCTATCCTAAAGTACAACTCTGTCAGTGATAGATGTCAGTGATAGATGTCCATAGAAGACAAGTTAATAAGATTATTATTCAAATTTATACCCCAATCATTAATGCTAAAGATGAAAAATTGAAGATTTCAACCAACTTTTACAGTCTGAAATTGATCAAACATATAATCAAGATGCATTGTTAATACCAGTGATTGGAATGTGAAAGTTGGGAAAAAAGAGATCAACAGTTGGAAAATATGGCTTTGGGATAGAAACAATGCCAGAGATTGCATGATAGAATTTTGCAAGACAAATGAACTACTGATTGCAAATACATTTGGAGAAGCTCAATATCATCTATCAGAACAAGACCATGGGCCATTTTCAGAACAGGTCATCAATTGTTCGCATACAAGTTCAAGTTGAGGCTGAGGAAAATTAAAACAAATCCATGAGAGTCAAAGTATGACCTTGACTACAATCCACCTAAACTTAGAAACCATCTCATACATAGATCAATGCACTGAATACAAAGACCAAAGACCACACACGTGGATGACATCAAGGCCATAATACATGAAAAAAGAAAAGGTAATAAAAAATGCAGAAAAAAAAATGAAAGATCAAAATTAATGTCAGAAAGAGACTCTGAAACTTGCTCTTGAACATACAGTGTCTAAAGCAAATAGAAGAAATGATGACGTAAAAGAGCTGAACAGAATATTTCAAAGTGCAGCTCAAGAAGACAAAGTAAAATATTATAATGAGATGTACAACCTGGAGTTAGAAAAGTGAAAGGGAAGAATATGCTCAGTACTTCTCAAGCTGAAAGAATTGAAGAAAAAAATTAACCCTTGAGTTGCAATATTGAAAGATTCTTTGGGCAAAATATTGAACAATGCAGGAAGAATCAAAAGAAGATGGAATTGAATTCACTCGCATGGCTTAACTCTCAGTCAAACAATTGACGGGACTATGAGCTGAACACCTGTACCTGGGAGATTCACGCCTTGGAACAATCAACCACGGGAGATCAGAATGGCAGCATTTGCACAGGAGAAAGAGGGAGGCAGGAATGCACAGGTAAGAAGGACACAGGGAAAGCGTAACAATGGGGAGGAAGTAGGAGGTGAGCTGATACACTACGGGGAGTGTAACCAGTGTCACAAAACAAAATGTGTATGAACTATTAAATGTAAAATGAATCTGTTTTGTAAAATTTCACCCAAATCACAATGAAAAGTTAAAAAAATAAATAAAGTGGAAGTACTACACAGACACTGTACCCAAAAGAACTGGTAAACATTCAATCATTTCAGGAAGTAGCATATGGTCAAGAACCAGTGGTATTGAAAGAAGTCCAAGTTGCACTGAAGGCATTGGGGAAAAACAAGGCTCCAGGAATTCACAGAATACCCACTGAGATGTTTCAACAAACAGATACAATGCTGGAAGCACCCACTTGTCTATGCTAAGATATTTGGAAGATAGCTACCTGGCCAACTAACTAGAAGACATCCATATTTGTGCCCATTCCAAAGAAAGGTTATGCAAAAGAATGTGGAAATTATTAGACAATATCATTAATAATACATACAAGTAAAGTTTCGCTGAAGATAGTACAAAAATGTTTGCAATAGCACATTGTTCTGGAAATGCCAACAATTCAACCCAGATTCAGAAAAGGATGTGGAATGAGGGATATCATTGCCGATGTCATTTGGATCTTGGCTGAAAGTTGAAAACAGCAGAAGGATGTTTGTCTGTGTTTTATTGCCAATGCATTTGACTTTGTGAATCACAGAAAATTATGAATAATATTGGCAGGAATGGGAATTCCAGAACACTTAATTATGCTCATGTGGAACCTGTCCACGATTCAAGAAGCGTTCCTTCAAACAGAACCAGGGGATACTGCAAGGTTTAAAATTAGGAAAGATGTGTGTAAGGTTTGTATTCTTCTGCTATATTTATTAAGTGTGTATGCTGAGCAAATAAACCAAGAAGCTGGACAGTATGAAGAAGAATGTGGTATCAGGAGCAGAGGAACACTCATTAATAACCTGTGATATGCAAATGACACAATCTTGTTTGCTGCAGGTGAAGAGAACTTGAAGCACTTACTGATGAAGATCAAAGACTCCAGTCTTCAGTATAGATTACACCTCAACACAAAGCAAACAAAAATCCTCACAACTGGGCCAATAAGCAAAATCATGATAAATGGAGAAAATATTGAAATTTCAAGCATTTTATTTTGCTTGAATCCACAATCAATGCCCATCAAAGTAGCAGTCAAGAAATCAAGCTATTGCATTGGGCAAATCTGCTGTAAAAGATCTCTTTATTTTCTTTATTTCTTAATTGTGATTTGAGTGAAAGTTTACAGAGCAAATTTATTTTCCATTGAACAATTCATACACATTTTGTTTCATGACATTGACTGCAATATAACATCTCTCTTTGCACTTCCTCCCTGGGGTTACCTTTTCCCTGC